ATGTTCGTCGTCGAGGAAGTTGGTGTCTAGATGTTCGCCGTCGAGGAAGTGGGTATTAATATATACATTGTAATTATATTTACATATTAAAAAATGTTTTTAAGTATAATTGTGAAACTGTGTTTAGCAGCATTTTATCGAGTATCTTTGATATTTTATAATAGTTTATATGTTTAATATTTTAATGTTTACTTACATATTAATTTCTCCTTCATTTGTATACGGAATTCTCATAAAACCACTTTTGTGCAAACTATTCTTAGGTATAATGCCGGCAAATTTCATATTTAGAATGTAAAAACCAGGTGACAATGCATTTTCAAAATTAAGTGTCAAGATGTCCGTTTCGTTGTTATAGGAATGTTCTATCGGTTTATAAACTGTACTGTTGTTATTAATCAACGTTGTCGCCATTTCATTTATTTCTAATTCTTTCGAATGCAAGCTTATGTTATTTAACGATGCATAACGAATCTCAATCTTGATATTGGATTCACCGTGAAAAGTAAAGTTGTCTTCTTCAAGATTCAATGTCAGAGAAATGTTATAGAATAATGGTACTGTATTATTGGGTAAACGGATAATTTTTAAATCATTATTGGCACAAAAAACGGTGTTTGTGGCCAATATTATATATAGACTGAGATTTAATAATAATTTTAGTAATCCCATGTCGATACGTATCTGCAATGTATTAAATAACTTTAACTTAGAAACTAGTCATAGAAGTGTGTTTCTTATTGCAATTTTTAACGAGGACTATAAGAAGTTAAAGAGGCGTAATAATTTAACCAAATTGACCAAAAATACTTTCTTTACATTAATAGTGTGAGATTCTTTAGTAGTATCTTTTTAGTTTTGGCATTCATTAAATACGTTTTATGTGGATATATTTTTAACAAGAGATAGATATTTATCGAATTATTATTCTTTTTAACAACTTACTTTATGTATTACATCCATCTGGCGATTAAAATCCTGTTGAATTCCAATAATTACAATTGATTAATTACAATTGATTAATGACAGTTATCGCAATGAGCTGTTAATATTAGGAATATGTTAGTATAATTGTGAGACCGTCTTATCACCTCGAAAGATCTCCAAAAACTGACTCTACATTTTCAATATCACTGATGCTATAACAAATAAGTTATGTAAATATTTGTAAGGTCGTATCAATATAAAAGATGCCCATTTTAAACTGTGATTTTTTTGTTCTCAGTAACAAATACGTTTATTAACGACTTATATTGACAATTAAACTGGATATAGAGTCTGGATAAGAGAAATGCATAGAGTGCATTTGGGGAGACGCGATTAGAACTACTTATACTTTTCTATCTGATCGTTTATTAGATATAAACAAAAATAGATGGACACAATTACCGCTAATAGCGTTTCCCCGAACGCACAATCTAGTGTCATTCTAGTTCTGTTACTTATTGAGTGCCAAGTAAGATAGGAAATATTTACATCGACTATGTTTTCTAAAAGGAAAGCAGCTATTGATACAGATGAAATGATTGTTAGTGAATTCAATTATTCGCACTACATTGGAAATTAGTACACATTAAAATATCTTTATATAAAATATCTAAATACAGTGGCATAAAATAATCAACTTCGACAATGAATTTATTAATATAGCTTCCAAACTATTAATAAATTATTAAATATTACAACAATAATATTGAGAAAAATTAGAAATAATTAAAAATAGATAAAGATTCATGATATAGCAGTAATAAGTAAAAATAATATTTTTATAAAGTTTATGTATATAAATGTATGTTTTGTGTGTATTATATTTCCTTTTTAAAAATTTGATCGGATCAAGAGTCGATCATTAAAGTTGATGCCCTTCTAAAAAAACCATTCCTTAAAAATGAATATGCCTCTCTTAAGAATATTTTCACGCTTTTTTATCAGTTTTTTAATTCTCTTCCGAGTTTTAGGATCATGGTCAAAATTAACGTCGGAGAATACTTTTATCTGAAACAGATTAATTGAAGAAGTTTAATATCAAGTATAATTTCTACATATAACAATATAATTATACATTATTCAGTTTAGATTTGAAAATACGCGTTACGGTATTATTCGATTTTCGTGATTCCTTCAAAAATAGTTTAAAGATGCTAAGATAATTAATTATTAATGTCATTATTAATTTAATTATTTAAAGTTGAAATAATTTATATTCATCGCGAGAAGTGGTTTTCATTTGAAACGCGCCATAACTTTTTAGTTTAGCGCTTTATCGATTTGATAATCGATAAATCAATAAGTATGTAAATTAGAATCATAAAACATACCTTATCGATTTGTTCATCATAAAAAAGATTCCGAAGAATATGTTTTATTATTACAGTTGTAGTAAATAATCTATAAAGACAAAATAATATAGTCATGATTAATAAGTCTTTATGATTGAAAATACTATATTTAACAAGAGAAATGTTATTACTTGGGTTTTATAATTTCAAAATTGGACAATATGTAATCCAAGATCAAATCGTTGTTCAAATGCTTATCAAGAATAAATTTGAAGATAAGGGAATGTTCTTTTTCATGAAACAATGAAGTGTTGAATGCTGTAATATTTAAATAGTTGATGATAATATCAGAATTTTCGGCGCAACTTAAACTTTTCATCAACATTTTTTTAAATTTTTCCTTTTCTGGATCCGTTTTTTGATATAATTCCAACATTTTATTCCAAGTAGTTCTATTGGCTGCCATCAAACCAAAACAGTACATATTATCATGCCCTGGTAGCATTCTAAAAGATATATATGTGTCTATCAATAAAAGATACATACATTTCATATGTATTTATGAATAATTGTTTATTTTATCAAGTTCCATATATTATAATAATATTCTATGCTTTATTAAGCAACTTTGTAAAAATGAATTTCTCTGTTTTGCGCTACGTTTCCATTCTATGTAATACTTGTTTCATGTGTTAATCATTTTACAATGAAGAAACAAATAAAAAAAGATTCTATCGGTAATGCCGCATAACAATTTATTGTATACTTTTAGTTACGTCATATTCATTCTATGCATTACGTTATTAATATATAATTAGAACAACATAGAATGTTGATTGAGGGTATAGCCAAATCAAACAGTAAGGAGAATGTTTGATTTGGCTATATCGGTATGCATGCGCTCGCGTGAACACACACACACACACACCCAAATACAATTTATGAGATAATTGAAATCGTATAAAAGTTACTTGTAAAGTTCAGGATCCGCGAGATGTTGGTTTAATTTTACGAGGGCCGTATTCTTGCAAAATTTGTCATCGGTGGTACATGCCCATTTTATGGCTTCTAGTCTTGTCAGTTTTGTAATATGATCATCATCATCATTTTCTAAATATCCTATATTTCGAAGAAGGTTACTGAGGAGTGCCATTATGGTTATCTAGAAATTGTGAAGTAATAATGTATTGGTTTTATACTTGGGTTATTGCACTGAAAAAAAAGATTGGCTGCTGCAGCAAATTAGATGGTAAAATATGGCATAGCATTTTTAATTGGTTGCAACACTCAATTCTTGGTTGTGTTAGGCTATCGAAATCCTATACTGACATTGCGGATAGGCTAACGCAACCAAAAATTGGCTGCTGCAGCCAATCTTTTTTTCAGTGTGGTATTTGTATTCAACGAAAAGTTCAATTTATGTTCCCAATGTAGCGGAAAGACAAAAGAATTTTTACAGAATATTCAAATAGTGATGAAATATTCAAAATATTATATGCACATACATTTTTATATTCTATTATATATATATATATATATATCGAAAATCAATTCAGTAACAATAAATTCAGGGTACTATGGACCTGGAATTTCTAGGATTATTACAATTTTTGCGGAATATACGAGTACATATATGGAACATGTTTCGAATACGTAACGATATATGTGTAAATGAAACATTTAACGATTATTCGTATGTTGCTCTAACATTCTGTATATATTTTGCAATATTCCGGAAAACTTTCGGAATGTTATTTTGAGATTTTGAGAACATTTTACGAGTCTTTCAGGAATATTTAGCGTTAGACAGGATGCTTCATATAATAACAATAAGTACTTTAAAAGATTTTGAGGGATGACTCTTTACACAAATTCCAGACGAAAACTTCATGTAATTATATATCTGAAATGGCTTAATTTTTTTCATGAAAAAGGCCGTATTTTTGTAAAATCAGAGACTTCTCAGAGAAATAAATCATGTATGACGATATATTTATAATTTAAACATATTACTTGATACTTTATATCGTTATATACTTTTGTAGTGATTTCACTATAATTTAAATTTCACTATATATATATATATAGTGTAAAGTGTATATAATAAGTGTATACAATAAGACAAGTAAAATACGTTAAGCATTGCAATCAATGTGTATTAATTATAATGAACTATGTGTTCGCAAATTGATTATTATTGTACCGATTGTATTCTTTATTTCTACTATAAAGTTAAGATATAACGTTATAGAATTACGTACTATAAATGTCATAACTTATTAATTTACGAGAATGGTTTCAGTTAAATCGGGACTTTTTTATTCTTACGTTCATGAGAATAAAAGTCCCAGTTTGACTTGAACCATCCACGTACCATATATTTATACTAATAAAAGAATTCTTTGTAAAATACTTAATGCCTATGGTATTATATTTACGACGGATTATTTCGATTGACATCACGGAAAATATATAAATGTAGAACTTAAAAAAACTGAAGAGTTAACTGTAATATTACAGATATACCTTTATCAACTCTGTTATATACCTTGACATATGTGGCCTCTGGCAGGAAAAAGAATTCCTTTAATATTGGTATAACTCGGAACAATAATGGATACCATGCCACATAATCGACTTCTCGCTGTAAATATCTTATAAGATTAACAAAGACGAATCCACTTATTCTTCCATCCATAAAGGAAAAAAGATCATCGATAATTTGAGCACGATTAAGAACGTGTATATTCGTGTATTTCTCAGAATTTAAGTAATTTGAAATTTTTTCCCAATTCTTGATATCGTAACTTACACGATAGTATCCTATTGCATTATTCATTATATTTATGTTATATATATATATAATATACATTATTAGATTCATTATATATTATATAATATATGTATATAGTACATTATTAGATCTTTTTAATTGAATTCATTGAGACATACTTACCAGTTTGTTGTATATTAACAATAATCCAATCACTTGGATCAGTTATAAAGGTTACATTTTCATCCGGTCGTAACCAATATCTGGGCACAGTATTGGAGAAATTCGGATTGGACTGCGTGGCAAAAGTTATGGGTATCCACCATTTGTTATTAATTTCATGCTCGTAAACACATTTTTGAGATATTGTTACTTCGCCAGTTGTGTAATTTTTTATCACGTTCACCTCGGGATAACTATTTTGATTCATCCATGTGTCCATTACTTCCTTTATTTTATACTGTTCGTGCGGGACATCAGATTCGTCTAAAGCAGTTTGCATAGCGCTCCACAAATCATCCGGAGTGGTTGGGCTATATTCACTAAGTTTGAGAAATGATATAGTTAATATAATCATGCATCGGGAAATATAAATGTATCATTGAAGAATTTACGTGAATATTAATGTACAATTTAACTTATAAATATTATGCATGCAAAAATTTAGAATATAACTCAAAATTAATTTAAGTTAAATATATTTAAGTTAAATACATTTAAGTTAAATAATTAATGAAAAGTAAAGTGTGCGAATGGGATCTATAATTGAAAAGTAATGCGATATCTCAGATATGCCTAATTTCATGTTTCTGACAAAATATACTATACTTTTCAGCATGAATACAAAAGGTATTATTACATTTGCGATACTTACAATTAGTACTGATATATAATAAATATATGTAACACACACTTACTGCGTGGCTAAATATATGACAAGACCCTTTCGAAATACCTCGTCGGTAATTGTATTTTGTAACATGCGGAATATAACTGACGCTACAATAGTGCACCAAATATCGATTAATGATATAGTTAAAAAGTACATACAAAATTAAGGTATACCATACACATATGTAAGTACAGGTTGTTTCAAAATTCGTGCACGCGCAGTACAAGACGTGATATTTTATAGTCTAAAAGAAGCAATTTCTTCCTTTTGCAAAATTGCGTTTGACAAGTAGTTTTTGCAGGAGAGCAGATTGAAGTTATAGGAGTAAACGCAAAAATTATTTATCGGTAATTTTGTTAAAGGAAAAAATTGTTTGTTTTAGCATAAAATATCACGTCTTATATTTCGCGAGTGTAAATTTTGAAACATTCTGTATATTGTACAAAAGAAGGATTTGTTTGTTTTAGTCTTCTATTTTGCCTTTTTGTTTGTACTATATTCATTAAGAAATCTATAATAGATAATAGCTTAATTATATTTACATAATCTTACCTTTTTCATAAACTACAAAAGAAAACAGATTAATTCTGTTAAAGGCACTATCTAATTCCAAAGTGACAGGACCCAATATGCCTACATCTATCAACAAACCGAGGTGTAAGATTTCAATCACAAAAGAATCCACTGCCCGCCAATCATTGAAAATCTGAAGAAAAAATGGTATGTGGTGTAACTGAATATTAAAAATTCGATTAAGAGTTCGGATTAGAAATAAAAAACCAGTTTGTTTGTCACTTCCAATTTTAAAAAGTTGCAATTTTTCTTTTCATATCGCCTTATACATTCTATTAACTCTTTCATGTCGAATTCTTTAACAAGATTCATATCTAGTTTAATTATTATTAAATGTATTGTAGATTACTCAAAATTATTCAATATCAAAATATAATTCTAAAATAAAGCACGTGCTGTCTTTTATTTAATTCTATATTATGTATCATAATACATTTTACGAAAACGCCTTATTTAATCGTATTTAATACTGGTATCACATTTAAATCTGAGATTAAAATGTATTTTAAAGTTTTTTTTCAATAATAAGCAACTTTGCATTTTATTTAATATTATTAAATAACCTTGTCGATGATGTACGTATGTAGGAACGAAGCAAGTCCCTCTTTTAACCAATGGTAAGACCACCAAGACGGTGTGACCAAATTACCAAACCATTGATGTGCAATTTCATGTGTTATTATAATTGCTACATCTGCTCTCCTATATGTTGGATGTTCGTTAATATCGTAGGCAACTGATGATTCACTGAAAGACGGAACGTAATATAAAATGTTCCTGTCGTGAATATGCAATCTAATGTACTCTCGAGTAATTGTGTTATTCGCAAATAATTCAGATGTTCGAATTTTTTTATACATATACAACTTTTTATATATTTTTTCTTATGTATATACAATACGAATAATTTCTTATATGCGTAAGTATGAAAAAAAGAGGAAGCACCTCTAGTGACCTTGACCTTGACAAATGAAATTATCAAAATCGTGACTGTGAACAACATTCATAATGTTTTAGCTGTAAGTTGGACACCTTGCATTATCTTAAAGTCGGCAATATCATTATTTTTTAAATCTCATAACTGAGAACATACTTAATAAAAAATAAACTTAATTATATATAGTGTTTTAAAAAGCTCTTAAAGTAAGTTGCAAAAGTTGTAGCGAAAAATGGAGGATTTTATAAAAGAAAACATTGATCACGTTGACTTGGTCTTAAAAGGTCCTTCTAATGCCCAATTTCTTCACTTGCAGATAAGTTGCAGTTAACTTTATCCAGGAGATATCTCCATTGTAATCTGAGAGATTTCTCTTGGATAAAGTTATCTAAAGATGAAGAAATTGGGCATAAGTCTGTTTACATCATCTGTTCCCTTAATATACTAAAACTCTTATTTTTTTTTCCGTATCTAAAGCCGTTTTCGAGACCTAGGTGTTGGGTCAGACTTTAGAAATATTCTGTATATACATACACATATGTAATTGAATTGAAAAAAGGGGGAACTCGTAATGTATATATTAAACACATTAATTATTTTTGAAAATCTAAACATAAAAATATGCATTTTTTTTTGTCTGTGAAGTATGCACACGTTTTTAATTACTAAACTTTGAATATTAAAAATAATATTCATATTTGCTAATTTTAATGGTTTAATTAATTTCTTTTTAATTATGTATATTACTTGTAAATGACGAGTCCCCAATGTTCCATGCCTACAACCGGATAATTCGGTGCGATGAAATGATCCATTTTCGGAACCTTTTCGGAATTATTGGTATATTGGATTAAGAATGGTGTGACCTTTTCAATAATATTATACATAAATGTCACTTCCGATCTCAATAAAGACGATCTGCACCACACATTGACGGTTTCTTTCTCGTTGGAAAGAGAATGAAAATCAATCATGGGGATTACGATAATCGCCACGAGATAAGTGGACATTATTGGAGAAGTGTTGAAGTACGTACACGTCATATCATATTCAAAGAATTCCCGTCGTACTAAAGGCATATTTGACAATGCCAGATATTTCACATGATGCATTACAGAAATGTTGAAGATAGCTTTTAACGCTGGTTCATCCCAACATGGAAATATTTGTCTAGCTCCACTCGGCTCCGAAAACGTTGCGACCATTCTACAATTTAATAAAACGTTTTAAGGAACGGCAAATTTTCCATTTATGTTGGATAATATAGAAAATTTAAAGAACACTAATTATTTATATTGTTATATTATAATATAATAATAATTTTTTGAGAATAAAAATTGACGCTATAATGTTTTTTATTTTGAATTAAAGCTACTAAATATTACGTTATACATATATTTAATATACACATTGTAATTATATCTACGTATTGAAAAACGTTTTTAAGTATAATTGTGAAACTGTGTTTAGCAACATTTTATCGAGTATCTTTGATATTTTATAATATTGTAGTTTATGTGTTTAATATTTTAATGTTTACTTACATATTAATTTCTCCTCCATTTGTATACGGAATTCTCATAAAACCACCTTTGTACAAACTATTCTTAGGTATAATGCCGGCAAATTTCATATTTAGAATGTAAAAACCAGGTGACAATGCATTTTCAAAATTAAGTGTCAAAATATCCATTTCATTGTTATAGGAATGTTCTATCGGTTTATAAACTGTACTGTTGTTATTAATCAACGTTGTCGCCATTTCATTTATTTCTAATTCTTTCGAATGCAAGCTTATGTTATTTAACGATGCATAACGAATCTCAATCTTGATATTGGATTCACCGTGAAAAGTAAAGTTGTCTTCTTCAAGATTCAATGTCAGAGAAATGTTATAGAATAATGGTACTGTATTATTGGGTAAACGGATAATTTTTAAATCATTATAGGCACAAAAAACGATGTTTGTGGCCAATATTATATATAGACTCAGATTTAATAATAATTTTAGAAATCCCATGTCGATACGTATCTGCAATGTATTAAATGCCTTTAACTTAGAAACTAGTCATAAAAGTGTTTTTCTTATTGCAATTTTTAATGAGGGCTGTAAGAAATGTAATAATTTAAGCAAATTGACCGAAAATGTTTTCTGTAATACGTAAATCGTGTGTGATTCTTTAGTAGTTTTTTTTGGTCTTGGCATTCTTTAAATACTTTTTATGAAGACATTTTTATTTTTTTAACAAGAGATAAATATCTATCGAATTATCATTCTCTTTAACAACTTACTTTATACATTACACCCATCTGCTGATTAAAATACTGTTGAATTCCAATAATTACAATTGATTAATTACAGTTATCGCAATGAGCCGTTAATATTAGGAATATGTTAGCATAATTGTGAGACCGTCTTACCATCTCGAAAAATCCTCAAGTACTGACTCTACAATTTCAATATAACTGATATCTAGCTATAACAAATATGTTATGTAAATATTTGTAAGATCATGTCAATATAAAAGATGTCCACATTTAAACTGTAATCTTTTTGTTCTTATTAATGAATATTGCGACTTATATCGACAATTGATTGGATATCTTGACTGAACGTTAAATCTTAATCGGGCTGAAAGCATTAGCTAATTGGGCAGTTTGGATCTCAAGGTCCTTGTTAATCTTTCGGCAAAATTTTAAATAAAATACAAATTTCAATATCAGAAAACGATAATAAAACTTATAGTTGTCAAATAGTGCTTTTCAGCAAGAGATATAACACAGTGATCATTTCATCTTTGTTTAACATTGGCAAACAAGGACGTAATTTTTTACACTTAATCGTATTTGCTTTCCTTTTAGGATAGAATGCATTTAAGAAGACGCGATTAACGCTATTTATACTATTTTATCATTATCATTTATTAGACATGAACAAGAATAGGAGGGCACACGGAAAAAAAAGATTAGCTGCCACAGCTAAAAATTAGGTATGGCAGCTAAATTCAGTAGTATTATATGGACACCTAACGTCATGTCTGCGAGGTCTAATTTCCATTAGCTATGAGGCCTAAATATTATCATTGTAACAAATAATCATTTTGCTATTATGTCGATGTATTGATCATTGCAGCAAACATTTTCTGTGTAGCAAACAATTCGGTAGCAAGTTTCAGGAAACCATATTTAGCTGTGGTAGAGACAAATGTCTTTTTCACAGACATATCCGATGACTATGATAACTAACTTCATGTTGCTAAATAAATTGATTATAACAGACATGCATATTTTGCTATCACATCCTTATATTAGCTACAGCAACAAATCCTTTGAATGTATTAGTAAATTTTATAGCTATAGTAGCTAATGCAATTTCAGCTAATCAGAATTAGCTGTGGCTAAAAACATTTTTTTTCCGTATAGCGCTAATAGCGTTTCCTCGAACGTACCACATTCAAATGTCATTCTAGTTTTATTATTTATTGAATGCCAAGTAGGATAGGATGATATTTATGTCGACTGTGTTTTCTAAAAGAAATGTATCTATAGATACAGATAAAATGATTCTTGGCGAATTTTATTATTTACATTATATTGGAAATTGGTACACACATTAATATATAATTATATAAAATATCTAAATACAGGCATACAGTGGCATAAAATAATCAACTTCGACAATGAATTTATTAATATATAGCTTTCAGACTATTAATAAATTACTAAATTTTACAATAATAATATTGAGAAATGTTAGAAATAATTAAAAATTGATAGAGAAAGAGAGAGAGAGAGAGAGAGAGATTTACGATATGGCAGTAATAAATAAAAATATTTTTAGAAGATTTATACAAATAAATGTATGTATCACATTTCTTTTTTATTGATTGAGTCGATGGTCGATCTCTCAAAGTCAATGCTTTTCTAATAAAACCTCGTTTTGAAATAGTCTAGTTTCCCTAAGTTGGTTTTCAGTGTGTGTGAAGCTAGCGTCTCACTTAGTGGAAACTCATTAAGTATTGAGAGTTCTGAGTTTATTTTTTTTCAATAGTTCTATAGTTCTATATATAGGATAAATAAATATATGTTTATTTTCAAATAAATATTTTCATGCTCTTCTATCAGTTCTTTAATTGCAATCTTAGTTTCCGGATCATCATCGAAATTAACTGAGTATGAGAATCTTTTAATCTAAAACATATGTTAGTTGAAAATGTTTAATAACAAATTTTTTTTTTATTTATTACAATTCTATAAAATATAATTTTCTAATTTTATTTTTGTGTATAATTTTTAATTTAACATAATATAAATAGATAAATATACATATATATTATGCATAATATATTATATTTAACTCCTTAGTGGAGTAGTACTCCTTAGTACAGTCTATACATGAGAAAACAAATAGTGTCCTGAAATTCGCCCATCAAAATATCACAGTAAAAAAGTTTTCAAAAAATTAAGGAAAGGAGTTTGTACATTTTTATTTTAATCAATAAAATTTGTGAAATAATAAGGGTTCAAAAATAGCCAATTACGGATTACGTTTAAAATGTTTAAATATGAAGTAAAAAATAATGAAGTGCGCGCTCATTAATACTTATACGCGCGATTCGTGAACAGTGGCCGTCTAACGTAATAATTAGCTATACTTAAACCTTTATGTTGCAAAAATTACTGCTTGAAATAAAAATGTATATATATATAATTTTTTTTATTTGATTTTTTTGAAAATTTTCTTTTTATAATATTTTGATTTGTAGATTTCGAGGCACTATATATATGTATGAGGAGTTTATACATATATGTAAACATATATAAAAGCTGTAAAAAAGGTTTTTTATTTGCGGAAGATTAATAAATATTCTTAAAAATCGACTAAACCATCCATCCACAATAGTAGAATGTTGAAATTTTTTTAAACTCTTTTTAGTTAAGTCATCGGTAATATTAATTCATATGAACTACAAAAATTCAGTTCATATTTTAAAATACGCGCCGATATCATTCAATTTTCCTCAAAAATACAATATAAAGATACAAACATAATTAATTATTAATATTATTATTAATTCGTTTATGTAAAGTTGCGTTAATTTATATTCTCCACGATGAATGGTTTTTATTTGAAGCATGCCACAATTGAAGCGTTATTAATAATCAATAATTCGATAAGATACGTGAACTTATAATTATAAAACATACCTTATTAATTTGTACGTTAAAAAAAATTTTGTAAGAGTAAGTCTTATTATTACAGTCATAGTAAGTAATCTATAAAAACAAAATTAAATATTCATGATTGATAAGTTCTTTATGATTGAGAAACATGTATTTACAAAGAGAACTGTTATTACATATCTGCGATATATTGTTTTACATATCCGCGATTTTTCATAAAAAGAACAGACGCGGTTTATAGTTACTATATTTAAAGTTCCTGAGTAGTCGCCACGATCATATAAGGTCGTGACGTCGTAAGTGAGAAATGACACGTTGAAGTGTACGTTTTGCCATTTGTTAATAAAGAGAATTTGGATAAAATAAAATAATAAAATTGCTTCTTTAAAACACTTGTTGTGTGTCAATGTGTGTGTGTGGCCAGAAGTTATATCCTTATCCTCCTGACAATCAATAAATAGTTATAAAAAGCACGTGAAGTGAAAAATTCATAAAGCTACACGTGTGCATATTGAGTAAACGCTGGTAAACGTTTTTTTATTTCACGTGCTTTTTACGACTATTTACTGATTATCAAGGGGGATAAGGATAGCTTCGGCTCATTTTTATAAGAGTTTTAAAGCGATCATTACTTTATTTTACTCAAATCTCTTTAATTATAAATGACATGCAAAAAACATCAATGTCATTTCTCGCTTACATCACGATCCTATATAACCGAGGCGATTATAATTTAGGAATTTTTATATTAGTTTTCAGTCTTTCTATTGCTATATAAAATGCCGCATATATATACATATATATATAATAAATGTCGTATATCTGCGTGTGTGTGCGCACGTCCGCGCGATGATCCAGCGATAGATGAAACTGTTGAATTATATAACCATATATTTTTACTATTATTATAATTGCTACGTTTATAACATTTTCAGTATGCACGCGCATATATGGTATACACACATATACAAGTGCAAACTCATGTAGGCAAATGAACAAACAAAAATCTCAATAAAAAATCCTTTCAAATGTCTCTAACTCAGAAACTAGAAATAATGATGTTTCACCCATTGAGATTTTTAATGAGAGATGCAAGAACTATAACATATATCACAAGTTGAAGCAAATTAACTGAAAGCGTTTTCTTCATATAAATCATGCGGAATCCGTGTGTTAGTCGTATTTTATTTCTATTCTTTGAATACGTTTTATATAGGTATAAACTTTTATGTATTTAACAATGTATTTAAGAAATAAATATTTATTGAATTATTATTCTTTTTAACAACTTACTTTATAAATTATACCTATGTGCTGATTAAAATATAGTTGATTTGCAGTAATTATAGTTAATTAATTACAGTTATCACAATGAGTCATTAATATTAGGAATATATCAATATAATTGCGAGTGCCATTTTGTCATCTCCAAATACTGATTCTGCAATGTCAATATCTCTGATGCTATAACAAATATGTCATGTAAATATGTTAGGAAATCGTGTCAACATAAAAGGTGTTCATATTTTGATCTGTGAATTTTTTGTTTTCTATAACGAATATTGCGACTTATAGCGACAATTGAACTGGACATCGATCTAATTCTCAGGTCAATGAACATTAATTTATTTCTTCGCTCTACAGGGTTTCTGGTCCTCTTAATGAAAGAAGAACCGCACCCAAGACAAACATTCTTGTAATTGCTCGTGTCGCCCCGACTGGCACCTATTGTACGCGTACACACCTTCTCGTTATAACTCTTGTTATAACTCTACGATATGTTTAAAGATGGTAACATTATCTGTAACAAGAATTCAAAGAACTTCAGAAATAACATTCTTTCTAAATTCTTTGGAATCTCACTTTAAAATGTGAAAATGATTGAGCCAGTTTTGAAAAATAAGTGGCTCAATTTTCAATCTTTAAGAGTGAGATTTCATTCTTCAGAGCGAGCTTCACTTTAAAAGTAACTCTAAAAAAAAGTATTTTAATCACACACACACACACACACACACACACACACACATTGAAGCAATTAGTGAGGTTCCATTTCACTTCATTAAAAATTAATTTCTGCACATTAATTTAAAAAAAAAAAATTATTTTATCAGTTAAGTAATCTATATTTGATACTAAGGCTAACGGAAATAAATATATATATTTAAAATGATTCTAAACAACTGTCTAATTTTTTATTGTTAGTTTTTAGGGTTGAATTATAATAATATAAATTTAATAATATAAAAAATCAATAGGTAATAGGGCTACGAGCCAAGGTTAATACACGTGATCAGATTTAAATAAAAATAAAGATAACATAAACATACAATAACTTTAATCTAAATGCCGGCAATGATAACAAACGTTTCGATCCGCATCGGATCCTTCTCAATGTTAGAGTTGAATAACAAAGAAAAATTATCGTTAAAAAATAATATTAAAAATTATAATTAGAAACTTCCCTCTCATCTCGCAGTGTTTCCGCAAACATGTTGATAATTTATGTTATCTTTATTTTTATTTAAATCTGATCACACGTATTAACCTTGGCTCGTAACCCTATTACCTATTGATTTTTAATTTATTGAGCTTTGTTACCATTATGTATTTAATAGTATAAATTTAATAATTTAATAATATATATAATATAAATTTAATCCAAAACCTATTAACGCAACATGAGTTTTTTTTATTTATAAGTAATATACAAATATATTAAAATATATACTTAAATACAATATTTTTAGAAAAAAAATATTTGTCGAGTATTTGCTCAATATGTGCAAATTTACGTTATATAAATACGTCGTATAAAACACATAATTACAATTTTTACGGAAGATAAAATGCGAAATCTTACGAATGCAGTTTCTCTTACAAAAAATGCTACAAAATATTTCGAGGCGTTTAAAACGTGAACTTTAATTATTACATTTGACGTTACGGAGCATTCCAGTGGTCAATAATAATGAGGCCCGCCAGAACATCCCCCTTTGTGCAAGTTTCGGAAATGAAGAGCGCGCTCATAAAAGTAGCGAGCGTATCGCGCTCAAAGCGAGATCGCGATCATGAGTTCTGTTATTTGTAAAATGTTCGCCGTTGGTGGTCGTCATGGGATAATTTAATTCATTCGTAATTAAAGCAAATATTGCCAAACCGATCGTGTGAGGATTGACTTTTCCGTCTGACAAGCTCTCCAATAGCTTTCTTATGCAATGGCAAACTGAAAGATTACGAGTTAATTAAACAAATCTATCATCTGTTCTACCGAAAGTCGGCATATTCTCATTGTTGCGTATATCTCTTAATTTTTGGTCTTTGTTGTTACGCACACATATACACGGAGAACCACGTGAACAGTTGTGTGTGTGTGTGTGTGTGTGTGTGTGTGTGTATTTCATTTAGATCATTAATCTATCGATGTGTGAAAAAAAGCAGCAAGATTCAAGAGAATGTTAGTAAATTAATTTGAAATTGATCGTGAACGTGAAATAACATAATAAAATTCTACTTTCTCTTACTTATTTCATTGATTTAAGTCAATAATGTTTTTGTTCGAAGTAAAAAATATTGATTTAATGTAAAATAATAAGAAATTTTATCTAAAATTAAATTTGATACTACCGAAAATAAAAAGAAAGTTTTTGTGTATTATATTCTATATAAATTTCTTTTCGTTACGTTCTATATAAACTTTGATAATTTTTATAACAGTTCCTTTAATGTATATTGTAGACACTTTCATAAAAAAAAGAGTTTTCAGAACTTAATCCTTGCAAATATCAATAAATAAATTCATATATACGTCTTCGAGTCAGTTATAATAAAAAAAATGTGATAATTGCAATAAATAAATAAATAAATAATTTGGTGTTAGATCGGATTTTTACAACGTTGCGCAAGAGTTGCGTCACATATTCTATTACAAGCACGTTTACAATAGATATTCATAACAGATAATTGTTACCACGACGCAGGTACATTCGTATGGAATAACGGACTAGCGATCCTCAATTGTGCGAGCGGTACGGTAAGTGGGGAAGGATTTTCGGATTGTGCCTATTCGCGCGATCGCGCTCCCGCTCGCGAGGAAGGTAATATTTAAAGCGTCGCGACGAGCGGCAGCAATCGATACGTTGATCTATCGTCATCAACGAGTGACGCCGTGACGGTCTAAGGGAGGACGGTCTACACCGACGTTTCTGTACCACCCACGATCGACAGTCACAAATTAGACTTCTTCGCGATTGACTTGACTGGTGCCTACCGTAGCTCCTTCTGGTCCTGGAAATTTTGTAAGACGCATCTCCACTGCATCATGGTCAGCCGCATCTCCACCATCTCTCTTTCTATAGGTCAGTCTTGTATTCAGAATATTTTCAATGACATTCAATGTATAAAAAGTAACGCAATTAAAAGGTTTGCATCGCAAGCTAAATAAACATTGTGCACTTTAAATTAATTGTTTAAGATCGGAAATTCAAATTTCTGTGAACTTTTTCCTTTAACGCTAAAGAGAAATTAATCGTAAAATTGAGATTAAACTTGGAACGTTTTAACGGAGATTCCGTGAGACTTCAGTGAAGCGCTTCAGTACAACGCGATTGTAGGACGGTTGTGGGGGTTGAAATCTATTTTTCATTTATTTTCTCGTTTGGCACGAATTTGTGAGATGTCTTTGGGTTTCGCCAACTGATTTAAATGTTTTTTTTAAATTGTTGCGATAACACCGTTTGCCTTTCCATTTTATTGCTTCTGCTTGGCAGAGTCAAGTTTTCGGTTTGCTTTTTTACACGAACAAAAAAATTAATACCAAGGAAACCTAAATATATTTTGCAACAAAAAATCTCTCTTTAACTTTTCTCATTATCATCACACAATCTAACACACATATTTAAATCTTATTACATACTCTGTAAATGATTGACTTACAGAGTTATTATACAATTGTTACAATATTTTCATTTCCAGAGCTTGTTTCAAAATATTCCATTGCGTTTGAGTCATAAGTTATTCAAAATAAAATATTGCAAGCCGTAATATAATCGTTGCGGCATCAATTCCGCTGAAATGACAAAAAGCAATTACTCCTCTACTTATTACTGTAACTTGCCACTTTATGTGTAATCATTCGATTAAAATCCGGCAAAGTTCTCCGTACGCACGTGCCACTTAATCTTACGTCGCTTCACAGCAAATGACATCAAAATCGTCATTTTAGTGTTAAAATAACGTTTTTAACGTCACAACGACATCAAAACGACGTGAGTAGAATTGGTATTAATTTGTGCTGTATATTTATGCACGTAAGTTTTTGAGAGAAAAGCGCTAAGATATTTTTACTTTAAAGGCAGTTTAATTAACCATGACAAATTGTCATTGCAAACGATTGTTTCTCGCGGAAAACAACAGTAGAAGAATTTCTTCTACTACTGCGTACTACTCATTCCACAATTATTGTGTCTATAAGATAATTGGATTTCAAGAACTGGACAAAAAAATTCAGTCCACAAAAGCTAGTTTTTACGTCAACGCGGCGCAACATACTGATTTACGTTTGCATCAAAACAATCGGAAAATAACACTACTTGCACGAGACGAACTCGTGCAGTTCACTAGAAAAAAAATGGATGATGAAATAAAGATGCGTCCCACAGTAACTTCGCTCGAAGTCATTCCATATTTTCATGTCTTTATCCGAAAAGCTCCTCGAAGTCTTTAACAAATAGAATCAGCGTTAGAACGATATTCAAGAATAATCACGCTACGTTCACTTACGACTCTAACGTTGATCTACGCAAATTGTCAATCAGAATTTTACGATGACAACAAAGCGTGGAAATTTTCTTGAACAAACTTGGGAAATGTTTGAGCAATGACACAATGCATCTCTTGCTCGTGGCATATATTTATTAACTGTTCTTAATGCAACACGTGTTGATTCAACAGAATTTAATAAACTCGTTCGTTACACTTTTAACATTACGCAGCGGCGTTTTTTTTTTTCTATCGTTTGCGATATTGAGGTATTTTTCTTGATATTCTCATACATGGAAAGAACAATTTGCTGAAGAGTCTAAAAATTTAGCTAGATACAGAGATCTAAAAATAATTTTATTGAAAATAATTAGTAGATGCTCAAACATAACGAACAATGCTGCAAAAAGTTTACATTCTAACAATTAACGCAAGCGTTCAATGATTACTTCGACAGTCTAACAAAATTAATGTAAAAATAAAAATAATTTTGTGTGTTGCTCAAAGATTAAATCAAATATAAGTAAATTGTCTACATGCGCCTTTGCGGTCTAACAAAATTATTTTCAGGTCGGTATTTAGCTAAATTTTTAGCAGAACCATTCTTTTCATGTATAATTCCAGAGAAAGAAAGAAAGAAAGAAAGAGAGAGGGAGAAGGAAAGAGAAAGAAAGAGAACTTGACAAACTCATTCGCCGCTGATATTACGCAGCACGTTACTTCTTTGATCGCAGCATCAAAATGCTCCTATTGACGCAATTAATTTCAGAAGGATTTAATTAGCTCATTCTGTGCATATTTAACATTGATTATCGGTATCACTGCATCAATTAGTAAGTCAGAAGTAAGCCACCATAATTCTGTTGGTTCGCGTAAATCTTATTATCTTCTCCTCCTGCTCCAAGTTAATATCTCCGCATACACGTGCCTAGGTGATATTGTTTACAATAGTTTGATAGGAAAATAACTGAATAATGAAAGGAAACCGCCGTTATACACGTTGTAGTCAATCGCGGTGATGCACAACTTTTCGAAGGTTACAGATTATCGTACATTACACTAATTTACAAAAAAATGTTTTTTTAATTACTTTGGGCCAGACAAGGTTTTGTAATACACTTTTGGTTGCTGAAAACGATGCTGCAAGCCAAATTTCATCAGTATAAGAAATTCTTATCGATCGATATTGCGCTCAATTAATGAAGACAATAATAAGTGCACGCACTTGTGTCATCCGATAATTATTGACGTCTATCTATTTACTTTACTTCAATCAGTGTGACAAAAAATTAATACGCTAATTTCAATAGTACTTCGATGTTTCTTTGCGAGATCGCATAGTGAAAATACGCATCTTTATCACAAGAGATACGGCTAAATGAATCACGTCGACATTATAAGATGCGCATTGTTTTAATTTCACAAATTCGCGTGAAGATGTATAACGTAGGAAAATTTGGGCGCGCGTAATCAGTTTATACGTGCATGACATATCGCAAAATTTTGCCGCTCTATCAAAGAAACGAAATGTAAATGGTAATTATTTTCTGTTCGGACCTTGCACGTATTTTCACGTGTATTTGTACGGTGTACGTGAATGCGATATAGTTTGAATTACGTGTTCACAGCGTGAACTACAGATATTTCGGACATTACGTAAAGAGATTTTTCCGAATTTAATTTCAGAAAATTAATATTAAGATTAGAAAAACAAGACCGCTTATATGAATATGTCGTAAGTAAAAGAAATGCCTTCTATTACGGTCAAAGTTAAATGTTGGAACGATACATCTGTATACGTATTTTTAAATAAATTTATCTCAGATATATGACTGGACGCAGATCACTTTTGTACTTACAACACAATCAAACTGAAATTAAATATTATTATTTAAGAGCTATCTTAGATGATGTATTCAATTTTAGATATTTATTGCATTGTTATAAGTATTGTATTGTTATCGAAGAAAATTTCTCAACAAATAAATTCAGAGGAATTTTGGCTTTTTAGAGAAGGAGACTAAAGATCATGAGACCAAGGAAGATACCGCAGATTTTGAGAAAGCCATGGAAATATGTGGTAAGTCATTGTGAGACAACATTTTATCATAAAATAACACATAACTAAAAAAAATATTAGAAATACGTAAACAATGTTATAAATAACATAAATGATAGTCGCGCAATTTTCGAGATTCTTGAAATTTGCTGCAATCATTTATAGGTAATGGAAGATATCAATATACTTTCCTGCTGGTTTGTGGCGTGATGTTTATCTGCGTTGGCTGCCAATTTGGGACGAGTGCGTATATTCTACCGTCAGCTGAATGTGATCTAAACATGAAATCCGAAGAGAAAGGGCTATTAAATGTCGCCTTCCTTGCAGGTAAATTTTTAACATAACATTTCACATATCCCTTAGACGATCCACTCAAATTTTTGGATTAATTTGATACAAGATGAATATGTTAGAAAGTAATATAAAAATATTTAAAATAAAATTAATTAAAACAAAAAGTGTAGCACTGATAATGTCGTGTTTTGTCATTTTCGTTTAACTCTTAAAAGATCACCCTTTTTGAGTTGTGATAATTTTGACGATTTTTGATGAAGTTCACTTTTAATGAGATTGATAATGATAATGTTTACCTGACTCATAGTGATTATTTGAAAATTACATTTTTTGAGTTGTATTACTTTTGAAATAAGGAAACGATACAGATATATTATTTAATGGAATCACACATGTTCGATTCCTTCAGGTTCGGTGTTCAGCGCACTTTTCTGGGGAATCTTCGCAGGTGTCTATGGAAGAAGAAATATTCTGCTGATAAATCTCTTCGGCGACAGTATCATTACGCTGATCACGAGCTTCTTGCAAAATTTTAAGCTGCTGCTGGCGTTCAGAGTCATAAGCGGATTCTTGTAAGTACAATAATGAAACGGCAAATGTGTAGCATGTTTTAATCGTGCTTTTGTATGATTTCTTTGATTACTTTTAGAATGGGCGGACCCGGTTCCGTGATATATATGTACCTTGGCGAGTTCCACGCGGAAAAGTACAGAGCGAAGAGCATCTGTTACCTAGGCTTTTTTTTCACTCTCGCTTGGTTAATATTGCCTGGTAATAATTCTTTTTTTTAAATTATCGATAAAGAAAAACCTAGAATTGCTTTCTTTAAAAACGCTGTATTTACATAAACAATTAAATATATCATAATAACAGAATACATGAAAATCAATATTAACTTATGGATTTGTTCATTCAGGTTTAGCATGGATAATAATACCATTGCCGATATCCTTCAATTTTTACGGCATTCAGTATAATTCTTGGAGATTATTCCTTGGCGCTATCAGTGTACCATCTTTCATTATTGCCGTTATAACTTTAACGTATCCGGAAAGTCCAAAATTTCTAGTGTCGCAAGGCAAGACTGACGAAGCTCTCGCGATTCTCCAAACAATCTATGCGGTGAATACAGGACGTGATAAGAGCGAGTTTCCGGTAAATATCAAAGAAAAATAATTTTTATTTTTTAGAACAACATTCCCAGAATCAATTGCGGATGACGCCATTTTTTTCCTTAATATGACGTATCTTTACTAGGTGAAGGAACTTCTCTCCGATGCCGTGTTCGAAGTAGAAAAGAACAAGGCGCCATTATCTTCGTCGGACAAGCTGATGGAATTGCTGAAAAATATTTGGTGGCAATTGCGTACAACTGCAACACCACCTATCTTGAAGTACGCTTCCCTCTTGTGGATAATTTATTTCACGAATATGTTTGGGTGAGTGTTTTTAATTTTTTAATTTTCAAAAGATTAATATTTTTAACATATTCTCTCTCTTTAAAAAGCATTTAAAGAGAGAATTATGCAATTTCGTATAAAATGTTATCAACAAAAAGAATTTCTATATCCCAATAAACAAGATGTTAAAAATAATGGTCGCATAATCAAAGAAGCAATTACCATTTTTCGGTAACACTACGCGCGTGGCGGTATTCGGTAATGCCGCCGATCTAGCAGACCGATCGGCGGCATTGACTAAGCCAACCATGTGGTGGCGCTGCGTGCTTTCTTTTTGAAAAAAGCGGATCGTTCTGCCATGTTGGGCGATGAGTGAGCCTTTTCAGCCATCTTTGCTTTTTGGTAAAAATGGGGACTGTTGCCCGAAGAGAGGATAAAAACGAAGGAAGCTTGTATGATCTTCAATATTAAAAAAGTGGCTTATACGATTTCAACGCAAAGCAAGTAAGGGGCTAATAGCCCGATTGGGCTAGCTAGCTAACTTCTGAGGCTGCTAGCCTAACTTCAAGCGGATACCAAGCCTGAGTTGAATTGAAGGAAGCAAATTAAGGAAACCTAACGATTAAGCTCTCGCTTAAAGAATGAGAAGGATCTTGAATCTGACCTAATGCATTTGGTTTGACGTCTTACCAAGTAACTCGGAAAAGAAGTTTCTATTTAAACGGCTAGCAGTCCGTTCTGACTTATATCTGTGATATCGGTTAGAAGTCCGTTCTATCACATTTTGGATATAAAAACGTTTCTTTTAACTGAAATTACTTAAGATTCCTTCTATTATGTTACAGAGTCATATAATTAATGCATAGAATTAAATCATTTTTATTTCTGCGAACTGTGCTGCTTACTTTATAAATCTGTGCTGCTTACTTTTACGAATAGTTTTTATTTAAAAGAATTTTGGTATATGTATTTACTTAATTTAGATTACGATATATTGATACAACAAAACTTAAGTTAGAATTTTCATTTATTCATTTCTTCAACTTAAAATTGGTAGGTTAAGTTATATAAAGAATACTCAGAATAAAGGTTATATCTTCTTGTACTAATTGTCTTTCTTTCATTTTCATTGTTTATATCTTTTATCTTTGTCTTCTTTGAAAATATAATTCAGCGTAAGAACACAAGATATTATTTATTGTCATTTTAACATTAAATTGACATTATATAAAGATATTATTTGACATCAAAATGACGACAAATAATGTCAACCTGTTTGCTAAGATATTAAACTCACATTCTCTTTTTATTTTTATATTATCTTTGGTACAAAATTATAATCAAGAATTTAACTATTACATAACTAAAGTATTATTTAATAAAAAATATTATATATGTATTTTCTATTTTTGTCATCAATCGTTTATGTAGGTACTACGCCTTTAATCTCTGGCAACCGGAATTGTTCAATCGCTTCGAGAACTATCATCAATCGCATCCGAATGTATCCGTGACGGTCTGCGAACTAATACGTGAATCGCAGACATTAAATCACACTGTTCCAGAGGAACCGCTCCTGTTTTCAACAAACGAAGACACTACGGAGTGCAAGACGCACATAGACGAACGGGTGTTCATTAATTCTCTGACAATCAACACTGTTTGCTTGTTTGGCAATATCATCTCTGGATATCTAGCAAATCGAGTTGATCGTCGAACAATGCCAGGTAAGAATTATCTTCAATGTGAATAAAGAAGAGTTTTTTTAATAATACTGTCGTTTAGAAAATATAATTTGAAATTAGCACTATCTACAATTTTTTTCTCTTTATCTCTTTTTAACGAGAATAAGATTCCGACGATTTTTTGTCTCTTTAGTGACCACAATGATGGTAGCTGGCATCGCTAGCTTCGGTATGTACTTTGTGAGATCCTCGCTGCAGATCCTTATAACTGCCTGCGTGTTCACTCTGATGGCAGCCACGGCGAATTTCGTGATTTCCAGTGTTGCGGTCGACGTCTTTCCTACACACGTGGCCGCCGCCGCGGTGTCCATGATGGTGTGCTTGGGAAGGTTCGGCGCGATGACGAGTAATCTCGCGTTCGGTATGCTGCTGGATCTCAGCTGCGAGATCCCGATATTCCTAGTAGCCGGTATCACCACATGTAAGTACAACGAAATGTCCATCTCAGAAAATATTTTGATGACATCAATATAAAATCAATATTGCCCAGAGGACTTTATCTTGATTTTTTATTATTGGAATTTACCGAACAGTTTTCCTAAAACTTAGATCTAACGAATAGAATAACTTAGTGATGTTCAAGTAAAAAATAAAAACCACGATTAGATTAAAAAAATGAATAATTGATCATTTTTAGTTGGCGGATTGTTATGCTTCTTGATACCGAGTAAGAAAAAGAAATAAATGTCGACGCTCAAGGAAGAAACAGACATGTTAAATTTAAGAAGAGGACAATCTAAAGTGTTTCGAATGTGTCGTGTTAGTTATGGCACACAAAAAACGTAATTAAATAGTAAAACGCAGTAAAACGTAAGCAGTAAGCAAATCAATACTTTTTATTTGCTATTGCTTACGTTATTACCTTATATATGGTCTCTACTGTGATTAACTGATTCACTTACTGCTTACGTTTTACTACCTTGCGTTTTTCTCTGTGCCATCGTTGTTATTTTTTTATCAAATATGCGATTTGCAAAGTTTGGAATATGAAAGAGCGCTTACTGTAAATAATAAGCATCGATATTGATAAGTTCTCGCACAAAAATCTAGCTTACATAATCGCGCATCAAAACGTTCAGTGAGATTAGCATAATTTATTTCCAACCAATTTATTCTGATAAAAAGCGCAAATTTATCGATACTTGTTTAATTATTAAAAATTAAATGATAAATCGTCCCTTATCAGTCATTAATTTTATCGGCTTGTCAATGACGATCTAATTTCACTGATCGATATACATTTCATATCGTTTTATTACAATCTGGCAACGCTTATCGATTAAGTCATTTGTAAATAATTATTTCAATATTTATTAATTCGTATTGTATATGTGTGTAATATATAAGTAATACGTTAATTGCCGACGTGTTTCATTGCACACGTGGCAAATGTAACGAGCGAATCTTCGTCGCGATAATGTATTATAATACATGTATAATACATATATAAGAATAGAAATAAAAAGTATGACAAAGGGAGAAGGTACTTTAATTATCATATACGAAAAAATAGGGGCAACCATTATTTGAAATACCTTACGTCAAGCAGGGACAAATTAACGCACAGCAATTACGCACTAATCATCGTGCAACAAATGAAAGATACTTATCTGCCAGTTTCTAAACGAGTTGGATTAAGTGTCGTTTCCTGGTAAGCCCCGCAGGAGTTTCAGGGTTTAATCACCCGATGTTTATGGTGCACCTATCGTGCATTAAAATCGCGTCCGTTCCTCATATATTACCAATAGATAATACTAGAGACCATTTAGAAGTTTCTAAACTAGGAATCTATTATCGTTACGTTTTGTCGATATTAAATTATTTGTTTAATATTAAATTATTTTAACATCGTCTTAAGAAGAATTTCTTTTCACCAAAGATTTTCTTATGGCAAAATTTATCAAGCTAAATTTCTCTTGCAAAAATGTTGCGCATTGTTTGTACTCATTTTTTCATTGGGAAAAAATTATAATAATCTATAGCGTAGTCATTGTATACATAATATCACTATATAACATAATATGTTAATGCGCATATAATGCCATATAACATAATATGTTAATGATGAGATTCGTCGTTATTATCAAAGAGATACAAAGCAGGATGTGATGTTGGAAATTGATGATTAATAACACGTGGGATACAAATCTGCAATTTCGTATATTTGTTTTATTTCTTTTTCGTAAAAATGAGTGGAGAGAACTTCCTTGATCTTCGATATACGATCACGTTCGTTCAGTAAGCGTGTTATCTCGTTTCAGAATCGAATACAATGATATATTGAAAATAATATGAGTTCTCGGGAGTTACCTAATAATATCGTTATTTCGTTACGCTATTCGCACTTACTCTCGGTACCTGCTTTCTTTATTATTATTCGTTACTACCATTCGTTATTATTGTTATCGTCGTCGCCGACGTAATACATAATATATACATAATATGTATAATATATATGCGTATGCGCGCGCATGCGTACACATCTTATGTACAATATATACAGCAATGTTTGTTTATTTCGATTCTTCGTTGTGCACTCCTTCCGCATCGATGTATAATATATATATATATATATTTTGTTGCGTATATCTTATTGCGCGTGATTCGAAAATGAGGAATCGCGGTGCCTGATCGAAAGCTCTTTCATCCGTGAATGTCATCGGCGAATATCAAAGCGAACAACGGTCTGCGCTCGTCGTGACTTGATTCCAAATTCGGAAATCAAATAAAAAAATGAACGCCAATATTTATATCGACGAATTTCGAAACTGTTGTTACGGCAAACGATTAATAAAACTATATTCCAAAAAATAAAATATATGTATAATTACTGTTTAAAGAGTATATATTCTACTATTAATTATTAATATTTAAAGATTTTATGCTTTTTTCATATCCAGACTAGTATTTTTAAAATACCATTATTATAGAGTCCCTAATTTGTCGATTTTTTTTTAATCGAACACAAGCAATTGGAAATGTTATTTCTTAGGTCATTTTTTTTTGAGTTTCCAAATTCGTCGACGAGTTTGCGATAAAAATCGATCGATCTTTAAAGAGACGATCACCATCGATAAATCTGCGAAGAACAAATTTTTTATCAACTTCGCAAAATTACAATTTGAAGCGCGCATTCGCGATCGGGAAAAATCTAAGTCGTCCGTATTATAAAGCGTGTCTCTCTACTCTCAGACTATTTGAACTTTTAAAAAGCACAGTATCTCGTGGTAAGGCACTATTCGTTTATTCGTTACATCTTAATGGGCGCTTAAAGTGTACCCCTAGAACGTAGGACACGGCAGGAATCGTCGAAATTCATCATCTACAGATTTATAAATTATCTTTTCTCTCTTGTTTTTTTTACTCAAAGTTCAGTCCATTTGGTATATACTGTTAATTTCGAATGAAGAAAAAGAGGACACAAGATCAATGAGTTTGGAAGGAGGAAAGATACGTAAGAGGGCTTCCTCTTGCTTTTCTTTCTTTTTCAAAAACGGACAGAAATACCGATGCCGATGAAGCGCTTACAGTACTTATCTGTGTAACAGTAGTATTTACCGACACGCGTGATAATTGCTAATTGTCTCTCTCGTTCTAAACACTAATTAAATGTAACAGTGAACGGCTATATAAAGGCACTATGTTTCACAGACGTAGGGTCCTTATAGGGAAATCAGCTGCCTTCATTCATTCATTTGCGCAATTTTACCTTTGGCTCGTCGTTCCATTTTACCTCTTCATCTACGAATATTTCCCGTGAAACTCCCTCCCTCTCCCACGGCAACTTCATTCTGTTTTATTGTCACGTATTTTTTTTTCTCCGTGCGAAGAAATTTTGAAATCAAATTCTGATCTTAATGATAAACGTGTCAATTAAGTAAGACTCGAAGGCATCTAATCTCGCTAACGAGGAACTATCGTATTGCATGTTGTGTGTCTATGGTTTAAAGATTATTTAAATCTAGCCCACAGACACGTGGAGTGGTCGTTCGGCCGATAGCAGTTATGAATTAGTAGACGCTAGCAAACGGCTCTAATTGTCGTTCGATCGTTAACATTAATGTTATTACTCTCTCGTTATTACTACTACTAGATAATAGCACGTCGCGTCGCCCGAGAGAAACGGTAACTTGTCGAACAAGTGGCCGGCTCTTTTATTGGCGAAAGCCGTTCCGTTTGAGATAAATCTCACAATGAATAGGCGTAAGAATAAATTATTCTTAATCAGAAAGCTCAGTCTTGCTTGACGCGCTTCAGAGAAACGGTCATTTGCCGACGTAACAATCTCTCTCATTACGCGCGCGTGAAATAATAAAATTGATATTAATCTGTATTAGATACAGATTAACTTTTACGTTAAAGAAAACATCGGATTAAAAATGTCTTATGTGTTAAAAAATTATTAGTAAAAAATATAATTTAGAAATAAAAAATATATATATTTGAATTTTTAGACAAAACAGTTCGCGTTGATGATCACTGAAAATCAAGTAAATAAAAGATAATATATCAAGATCAAATGAATGAAAGACCAAAAAAGCGGATTGTAAAAAAAGGATAAACTAGCGAAGCGCGAAAGGACATGAAAGGAAAAAGAAAGCAAAACGAAGAGGTAGAGTGAAGAAGACAATCCATGCATTAGATGAATCTATGTTTTCTATGTTTCAGTCGAAATGCAAAAACGTTCCACGCAGTTTTACGAATGTACACAACAGATGTATTTAGTCTTTCTTATTTGAAAAAAATCTTCGCTGAAGATGTATATTACATTATTCACATCCGAACTTCCTTTTCCACTTAGATCGGTGTAGACTCGTGCTTTCGATCCATTTTACGACGCTACAAAAATTCACGAAAAATGATCGAGAAACCCGAAAGATTTCTCCGCACTTTATATTATGTACAGATACAATCTATAAGTAACACTTTTGTATCTACAGATGTTTCGAAAAAGACGAAAGGTAGAGCAGTATGAAGAATGTCGGCGAGATTGACAGCGATACAGAAAACATAATTATAACAATAGCGTTCTATTAAAAATTATTCAAACAGAGAAACGAAACTCCGCAAAATTTTAATTCACATGAGAGATAAAAGATTCGACAAAAAAAGAATACCATGAGATAAACGTGATACTTATTTTCTCACTTCTTTTTCCAATAATAATTCATTAAAAAGATTTATTATTGCGAGTTTGCTATTGGACTTTCTGTAAGCGTAGATGTTTTTTCTCTTTCAAACTTTCGCGCTCTTTTTTTAGGAGAGATTTATATTATACGATTTTTTTCGCATTTTCGCGATCGTTTCTCTCTCGAAATTCTCGAGACGAAGGAGAAATCGCTCTCGCATTTATTGCGACGAGGCATGTCGCAGGGGAAGAAGACGCCCGAACGTCCCCGCAGCGATATTTACGTCGTAGGACTGTCCTACCATTAATTTTAGAATGCGCCTTCGCAAGTTCCTTTTTGTTCCTAACGCACGACGACCGCGACGGCTCTTCTGGATGCTTGAGCGCGATAAAACGAGCACAAAGAGGTACAAATATGAATCATTACGTATTTTGTATGCATAATATACGCCGCAGCAGATCGACACGAATTACGTTCATTATCACTAAACCGACTCCTCGCATCGTATTACATTTTTCGTTAATTAATTAATTCTTTTTTATTTCTAAATTATTCTTATCGTATTTATACTGGTCGTCTTTTTTCCAATTATTGCAAATATAACATTATCAGAATATGAATACAAGGACGCGAACGTCGCTGACAAATATTAGTACCTCGAGACGGTAGGCTTAAATTACTTGTAATCGGATTCCCTTGAGGATACGAACGACGTGTCTGTCTCATAAATTGTCAAATGCAGCTCTTACATCGCGCGGATAGAGGCACGTAACAGCATTTCAAACGCATTCCAAGGCGGTGCGCACGTTCTTAATCGTGGCACAAGAGGCGAAGATGGACCTCGACCACAACAACGTGTCGGGGAACAGCGGGAAAAGGGACTACGAAAAGCAAACCGGAGTCGTCCAAAGTGAACAATCTGCCGGCGGACGTCCTCTCATTCCTCGTTACAATTATTTTCGCCGATGATCCAACTTGACTGTCGCTCTCTCTCTCCCTCTCTCTCTTTCTCTCTCACGCGCGCACAACACACACACACACACACACACACACACACACACACACACACACACACACACACACGCACGCACGCACGCACGCACGCACGCACGCACGCAAACACACACGCACGCACGCAACACACACGCACGCATGCAAACACACACACACACACACACACACACAAAAGCACACACGCACACGCACACAACAGTTAGCTACCTATGAATATCTTTTTGTATACGTCTCTGTATACATATCAATATATAACATTTAAGCGGCGTATACGCATCACAATATATCGTTTCTCGTAGCTTTCAATCCGTTCAATTGTTATTACAAAGTAACGGCCACTTTTACGTCCGATAAAAGCGGTAGTACGAAAGTAAACTAATGGTCGAAAATAACGGGTCGATCAGTCGATTGTATATGTATGTGTGTGTTTTATGTACGCGTGTATGTGTATGTGTATCGTGTACGTGCGTGAATGAATACGTATGAATGGTACACGTTTACATCGTATGCATTTAGACATATTGTTCTGAACACCGTGTACGCTCTTTCCTTCTTTCAAGTTCATTCGTATATTCTATAGAGTATGTAAAAAAAAACGTCCGTATATATGCGTCTCGTGTATAATCCTCTTCGAGGAAAGTTTCCGTACATCGGAAGTCGGCGAGGCGTGCACAGCTACGTTCGGAAGAAAATAAAAAGCAACACAGAAGCCATCCTTCATCTCGATTGAAACATTTCGACGACTAGCGCGACTAATTGTAAGCTGAGAGATGATCCTCGTGAAACTATCAGCAATACCTCGTTCCTCATTTCCGATGTGCAGAATCTGTTCCATTAATTAACTATTATACGCGAACATATTATCTTGTTCTCTCTCTCTCTCTCTCTCTCTCTCTCTCTCTCTCTCTCTCTCTCTGCTGTCTCGCTTGCTTCGCAATCGTAAAAAAAGGAAGAAAGAAAAGACTCGCGGTCAAACTCTTATCACAGTACATCGTATTACTGTAGTATAAAGCTCCGGATGAGGAGACATAATTTTTTTTTCTTTTTTCGTGCGAAACGAGCTTGGCACGTGGCGCACTTTTGTTTCCCGAGAGTACGCGTTGCACCAAGAAGGGAAGCTGGGAAGGCACAGTGTATGTACATGTACTATACGTATGTACAGCACCGAACGACGATCGGAGATAATACACCTGGGACTCGTGGTACGTCAATCGCTTTCAGTTTTAGTTAGATCGATTACGCGACTATTCCATTCAGTACAGGTCCCCTCGCGACGTAGGACTCGCCATAGAACTTATGCTACTGTAGCAGCCACGATTCTCTCTCTCTCTCTCTCTCTCTCTCTCTCTCTCTCTCTCTCTCTCTCTCTCGAATTAAAATTAATAAACCAATTAATAAATATCTTATTAAATAAAAATTAATTCACGATATATAAAAATTGATCAATTTATATTTATATTATTACGTTACTTAAAGACTCCGTTTCGTTTTGTATATTTTTAACCTTCTTAAAGTAACGATATCTTAGAGAAAGTTTGCAATCTGTATAAAACTTGTAGATTGCACAATTAAAAAAATTTAAATATATATATCAAACATGATTAATATAGCATGATTATTTTTACAAAGTTGTAAATTTTTAACGTTTAATTTTAAACGTTAATTTATCTTTTTTGTCAATAACATAAGTTCTACGAAATGTAACGAGTTTACAGAAAAATTCATGGTAAGTTTCTTTTTAACTTACCAAAAATTATCAAAGAACAGCTGGATGTTCAATTATTTTCTATGCTATGTTTATTGTATAACTATCTTCTTTGTTTATTGTTAAATGCCAATAAATTCTCGCTGTTCTCTGAATATTTTTAAACAACTGACAAAAGTGATTATCCAAAAAATATTTTTCAAAGAGCGATCATGAAATAGATACTCTCTATCTACGTACTATTTATCCTCTCTGTTTCGTCGATGTTACTCTTTGCTTCATGCTTCATCTTTACGAGACTAAGAATTTTCCCTGCCATGTTGAATTCAAAATCCACGCGCGCGAATTCGCGAGCTGGCGCGCGTAGACCATAAACGCAAGTGACTAGACCTACCGGAAGCCCGACTCTCTGCGCTTCCCTCTGTCGGAAATTCTCACACAAATCTCGAGAATAGCATCGACGTCTAAGCGATCAGAGAATAAAATTAAAAAAGAAGAACTACGAATCAAACGCATGCTTCATAATGATCCTAAGTCCCATTCGTGTAAGTCTCGATGTGAATCTCTCCGTTCATACGCGCTCGATGAACACGCTCGCGAACGATCTCGTTCGTTTCCGTCTCTCATTCTATTGACGAAAGTGGAACGCGACGTTGTTCCTAAACGTATTATTTTAACGGCGTGTACTTTGGTAAGACTGCTGGGGTTGCTGGGACGACCCCGGCACGCGCCGCTGGGGATCGCCCCCGACGCACACACACGTGTTCTTTTTATTTATTATTAACACAGCTCTCGCTAGGACGGAGCTAAAGGCTACGGTCGCCGCATCATTATCACCGATCCTCCCCGAGAACAACGACGACGACGATGACGATGACGACGAGGAGCAAGAGGCGTGAGTTGAAAACGGGACTTGACGATCCTCTTCGGCCTGGCCAGCCTTGGGGATGATCACCTACACGGCGCCAGGAGCACCTCGAGCCAGCACGGACAGGAAGTGACTTCCTGTCGCGAATACTTGGGTCCCCAGCCTTTGGCGAAGCTGATGCGGACGGAGTTAATGTCGACGGGGCCGGAGGCGGTAAAACCAGCGGCCTGACCGCCGCCACCGCCGTATGGAAGCTGCATGATCTTGGCGCGATCAAAGATGTTGAGACAGAAACCCGGTGGCACCCGGTAAACCAGCAACGTCCTCGATTCCGGATCGTCCAGGGTGGGCGAATTCACGAAGATTGGGCTCTCCGACCGATTATACGCCCATACACCGTCCGCTTCCTGACTGAGCGTTAACCCTACGACAAAAACATGGAATTTTTCTTATCTATCTATTTATATATTGAGATCTTTAGAAATTAGTACTATCGAGTGAATATACAATATTCTCTTTAAAAATATTTTTTATTTTAAATATAAATTGTTCAATAAAGAATTAAAAGTGTTTTATATACTCTCTAAATTCTTTAGATTGGAATTTTATTATGAAGAGTGAAAATTGAGCCAGTCTTGAAAAAGAGTTTCTGAGATCGAACTTACCAAGGCCGATTTTGCTGCGCGTACGCTGGACCGCGGGCGGCGCATTGTGATTTTCAACCAGAGTCGCTAAACAGAGACCGTCGCCGTCGTGAAGAGAGTCGAAGACGTTCACCGTCGATGGTTCCACGGGATACAAACGGCCAACTCGGCCGCCCAATTCCCAGTACGCCAGGGTGCACCATTCCCTCTGTCCTGTCTCACCTATAAACAAGAAAAAAAGGAATATTTAAAGCGTGAAGATTGATCTAAAATGTGATACGTCAAGCGTTGCTATTGTTTGTCGTCAATCAATGACTGCAACGTTTACGATACATTCAGCATTTTTTTTCGATACTACATCTCGTATTTTTTTCAGTACATACGTACTTGTTAATTAAAAAGTCGTTATCGGTGCAATTGCGGTCAAATATATTAAATTTTTTCTTCTAAAATACAATCGAATTGTGATAAATAAATACGCGAGATAGCATGAATGCATTATTATATGCTAAAAAAATGTGAAAAGGAAACATAAGAATTTTTCTATATATTTTATGGTAGAATGTGATCTTTCAAAAGCCTATTTGTTAAGCTGTCTTTGCGTGATAGTGATTTAACCCAAGTGTAAAAATGAAATGTAAATATTCGAATTATTAAATACTAACAGCTCGATAAAGTGTATTGAGGATTTCGCGGTTTAACCAAATCTCAATTAAATTTCTACATTTAATTAAACACGCATCAATCTATATATGTATGATAGCTTTAATGTGCACCAGTACGTACTGGACGAGTCCAACCAAATTTGTTATAATAAGTGATCATGTTCTACATTTTTGATATACACCGTCAGTACTGAAAATCTACAATACGTTATATATAGATTTTCAGTACTGGCGGTGTAATCGGAATATGGCTATAGGTAGAAGCAGGACACAGCACAGGACACTTCTAGTCTATTCTGTCTAGTTCTGTCTAGTCAAGAAGAATAATAAAGAGACTTCCGCTATTATTGTTAGTTCAGAAAAAAAAGATTAAATCTATCTCTCATCGCCACTAATCCAAAACTATTTTTCTTATCTGCCCTGTCATGTCTGTAAATAATGATCGCTGCGTGTTTCAGGTATGAAATAGGTAAGAATAATCTGCTTTACAATCAGTAAAAGTGCTTTATCGAGCACAACCCGGATTATATACTTATATGACCACAAAAGGTTAGAGCATTGTTGTCTTTTGCCTAATCGTATTTTTCGAAAGTAATACTCGAGACGCACGATTTTCCGAACGTTTTATCTACCGGATGTCGGCCCGACGAGACGCCTCTCTTCGAGATTCTTTGTTAACGAATAGTCTTTCCGGTAAAGAGGTTCCAGGAGAAACTGAGGGCGGCGTTACAAAGGAACGCCGGCAAATCTCCCACGCTTTTCGTCGTTATAACGTCTCCGGCGGCGTCGTCGCCGTCTGGGATCGGCGCCAGGATCCCGCAGGCCGGACGTAGCGGCCGAGTGAAATAAGAATTCGGAGACGAAGGAAGACACAAGATGCACCGCACGATGGTGCAACATCGAATGCCGATTTGTTTCGAGCCCAGAATACAATGACACGAGACAGTCACGGATTAATGTTAACACGATTACCGGTGTTAACGTCTTGGCACATCTTGGTTCGTGTTATAGTCTTAACAAATTGTTATCGATTTAACATTTAATATTATGGGGAGTCATTTAATATTTAATAATTATTTTTCCCTATATATTTTTATCGATTTAATATTAAATATTATTTTAATCTTCACTTTCATCAATTTGACATTTATCATTATTTATTTAATATTTAATAACATCTAATATTATATAAAAGGTTACAAAAGGGCGTTTAGGGATCGGCGCTGTAATAAGTGCACAAGAATTAATGTAACAATATCTTTTTTTCCAATTTGTTCCGTTTCTTTATTCATCGAACGTTTCGGCTAACTTCTAGCCATCTTCAGCGAACAGTAATATATAAATTGAAATTTAAACAAACATAAGTCCCTCCTGTGGTTACACTCTTACATCGAAATTCCATGGCCAGTTTGAAGGCTGGATGGTCTTTTAACTGTTTAATCTAATATTATATATATTTTATATATAATATTACAGGTAACATTACACGTTACGTATAAATAAAATATAAATTGAAATCCATTTTAAGTTTAGAATGAAAAAGCCATTACAAATCATGATGTCAATGAAAGCTTTCGTTTTAATTATTTTAAATAGTGAACGTGTAAAATAATTCTTAATTCACGTCGACTAATACGATTTCTTGTGTAGAATGTCAGAGGATTAATTATAAATTAATAATAAAATTATATTCAATTTGAGTTACCGTTATCATTTTTTATTATTATTTTTATCACATTAATAAATAAATCTGGATGGCAACTTTATTCACAATGATACAAAAATTAGCATCAATTAAATATTTCGATGTCAAAATCCTTTGCTTACTCTTCTTTTACACTCTTCCGCTCCGCGACGTGATTCCGAACGAGCAATTTTGCGTCACCTAGCGCGAAGCCGTTGAAGATGATCTCCCACGTTCGCGATTTCTTGCCGATGATCGGTAACGCGATCGATGACTGGAGCAGAGTCCCGGAAGCCAAAGGAACAACAAGGAGATTCAGAAATTCGTCAGATCGGAAGCTCGGTCGAGTTGGGGCACGAAAATGCGCGATGCGACCGAAAACAGCCTTATCGTGACCGCAATAAACATCGTTCGATTTCCGAGGCCCCGCTCGGACATCTCGAGGCTTGGCTCGTCTCGGCTTGGCTCTCTCTCCTCACGACTCTACGACGAGCTGGCGTGTGTGTCGTAGAGCAGCGTCACGCACGGAAAAGAGAAAGATGGGACGCAGGCGGGCGACGGTGGCGGGGAATCGGGGAGCCCCTTGCTTCCACCACAGATAAAAATAGATATTACGAGTTTACCGCGGCGCCAAGATTGCGGGGTATCGCGACGATTACGTCATCGGTAGTAGCGCGAGTGGTTGGAGCAAGGACGCCTGTCGCGTCGCCCGCCGTCGCCACCGTCGTCGTCGTCGCTGTCGAATTTTCATGCATTATCTGCGATCGTCTGCGGTCTTTCAGCAGTTTCTGGCCGCCGCCGTCGCGTTGTGCGTTTTATTCCCCATCGAGTTATCGCACCGCGAACCAGAAGCGCGAAATCAACCGCGAGGTAGATACGCCGGATATACAGGGTGTCTCGACAGGCGACTGCTTTACTGGAAATCTTCTGGATATTTAGGGGATCGCGTACGAGGAGAGAGGTCTGTTCTTTGTGGCTGAACTAGAGTACACTTGTTGCTTTGCACAAAATGTTTTGATTGTATCAACAAGAAGTACAAACAAAAAATTCTAATCGTATCAATCAGAGTTCTAGTTATCGTAATTGAATTTCTGATTATCTCGACTAGAATGTTTGATAGATTAACTGTAAAGCTTGCAGCATATGATGCATTTTTCCTGTTGGATTGCGTTTTAATAAATTATTACAATTGCATCACACATAAAATGAAGAATTTTTAATAATTTTCTGAAACGCAAACGCAAGCAGGAAAGCACGCATCGTATGCCGCAGGCTTTAAGTGTCTGATTTGTATGTTTCTGAATCTACCATACCGAGAAAAATATTTTGATTGATTAACAAGAAGTACAAACAAAACGAATTCTGATCATATGAATCATAATTGAATTTCTGATTATCTCGACTGGAATGTTTGATACATTTAACTACAAATGTTTGATGATAGCACCTTTCTGATTGAATTTACCTGAATTTCAATTAATGCGACAAGACACTTTTTCAATATATATAACTTAAAATACAAATTAGATGCATAAGAAATAAATAAGATTTATAAAATACCGCAATCGTCCGCCATTTTAGTCCAATATAGCGGCAATTTCAAACTGATGTATTGGGATGAATTTACTGTGCGAATGACGGAAAACGTTAGTCCGCTATATTGGACTCAAAATGGCGGACGCTTGCGATACTTTATAAATGTAAGGTTCGATTGTACCGTTATTTCGACTTTAAGCGAAGCTTAAAAATTTCTTTTTTTTTTAAAGCCGATAGAGAGAAAGGGAGAGTTTTAAGCCACGCTTAACATTAAAGTAACGTTGCTGCAATCGGGCCTAAATCTAGTGACTTTAAGAAATAAATAAGAAACAGATATATACCTATTTGAAGTTTGGCGCAAACAAAATAGAAAAGTTTTAGTGTAGTTCAAAGACAGCGACAAAAAGCAGACCTAAGTACTCGCTTTCTTTCGATGCATTGAGGCACTTGAGGCGCACCGAGAGATAGTGTTTCGAGGTTCCGAGTGATTTAACGAGGAGATTTCGCGAGTTTCAAGCGTACGGAAACGGACAATTTAATTTAATAGGTACAGCGAGCGCATTAAATCCGTCACTTGCTGTCGGAATCCTCGATGTTGGGAATAAGAGCGCTCCTCGATCCGACGATCGTGTTGCTATCGTGGGAGGGGATAAAATCATGGGGGGGAGGATAAATGCCACGGGGAGGAAACGAGCGGGCGAGTTAGCGAGAATCGCGAGGTGCATCCCGCGCGCGGCTTGCACGCAGTGCGCGCGATACAATAAACTCAGTCACTAAATGTGGGCCACGCAGAGACGCGCGGCGGGCGGCGTATGTGGCTCGGAAAATTGGAAGCAGACCGAAAGCCCTGTAATAAAGCAATTCTGTCGGTTCTCTGAAGATCACGATAAAGAAGCAATTACGGAATTGACTGCAGCTTGCCGCGGCTCTTAAGTGTCCTCATTTCTCTATATCCGAGATAGAGAGGAAGAGGGAGAGAGACAGACGTATTATTTCACGTCGCGACGTACGTCCGCGAGTCTTTTATTTTCGTAATCGTTCTCGTTTCCAAGGATCTCAGCTCGGTTAAGAAAAACCTCTCAATGAATCGGTGCCGGCGACCGCGCCGCGAGAATTATCCCGCCGTCCTTTCCCACTGCCAGGCCAGAGATAACCTCCAGTTTGCTAAATTAATAAAAAGAATAATGACAGTTCCAGCAGCACTTTTCATAGTTGTACAGTTCTTTTTAAAAATAAAAAGAGTTCCGCATTTTTTATACTATAAAAAAAAATTGAAAAATTGAAAAAATAGCAGCTGCAACTTTGTTAAAATGTAGAGGATAGAATTCTGCTAAAAC